GCCTATTTAAAACTTGAATTGATTACTTATCACTTGTAATGTTCATTGGGATGATGAAAAATTTATTTTCTTGTTCGGGTTTTTTTTTCAGGCGATGGATTATTTCAAATTACTTTATCGTACGATAAACTTTCTCGTTTTACTTTTCTATTTATTAAGTTAGAAATTGTTTGATGCGATTTACAGTCTTTTCTGCCGTTTGGCTTCGCTGCTTCGTATCAAGAATCATGCTTTCGGAAGCGTTGCCAAGATCACTGTTCGTTGTTTACAAGGACTAACACAAGCACTCGATTTGAGGTGTGTTGGTTGTGTTCACATCAAAGATAGTCTTCAAAAACTTTGCATTTCTAATTTATTGAATGATTGCATTCATCACTGAGGCATCACATTTTTTAAATCATTCTTCTCGCGCAAGTAACGATAACTGTGCAGGAAATCATCGGCCCTCTTGAACTATTTGGTTATTTTCTCAAGTTCCATTCGTTCAGTGCTCAGAGGTATCCATGTCTCGATAACGATTACTTCTATAGAGATCTAGAGTGCCTACTGTAGGTGCAAGCTTGTTATCATATCGAAAGTTTATTGCAGAACGCTCGTAAAGACGAACTCAGATATAATAAGAACAAGTTTATTGACATTCTTCAACAATTGTGCTGATGACTTGCAAGCAGCCGTCCAGGAGCTGAAAGAAGGTGGTCAATACTCGCTGATTCGTGGTCAAAATCTCACCTCGTGGGTCTCCATCGAATTCGCCTATCAAATGATTATTCCTGTACTGACCACGATGTTCGCACATTTGGCTGTCAACCACTTTGGCACTGATGTGTTAGGTAGGAAGATATCTTTCTTATTTTGGTCATTTTCATCTTTCAATCTGCGAAATTATTTATTTCCGGCTTTCTCACCATGAAATGTNGGTCATTTTCATCTTTCAATCTGCGAAATTATTTATTTCCGGCTTTCTCACCATGAAATGTTGATTGAATGAGGAGAATTTTAATTTCTGATTGCAGTGGATGATATTCAAGCGGCATGCTATAAGATTCTGGATAGTGCGTATTTGTTGAATGGTTTGAATGGACCGTCAATGGCACGCGTTTCGATTGGTTATGAAACTGACAAGTTGGTGGTTTTTTACGTGCGAGAATTTTGAAATTCATTTTTTATTCGGCGTGGTTATAGCTAGATGAAATTCGATTGGCAGTTTTCGATTACCTCAAATGTTATGTCAGTTCGTATTGTTGACTGATGTGAGTCAGCATTGCATATTCAACATCTCATTTCGTTCATGACTTAGAGATTATTGCCCATTCGCGGACTTGATATCAACACGCAACTACTAAAATTACGAGATGCCTTAACGAGTTGAGGCAGCTGCGGAATTGTAGTATTATACAATGACGGAAAGCGATCGATGATG